ACTCTCTGCACCCTGTGTGAGTTGGCCTGAGTTGTTTTCTGATGGCTGTTCCTTCCTTCCCTCCTGTTTTTCTCCCCCCCTTTAGCTGCCAGGCTTGCTGGAACTCTTGGTGGAATATTTCCGGCGCTGCCTGATCGAGATCTTTGGAATCCTGAAGGAATACGAGGTAGGAGACCCAGGGCAAAGAACACTATTAGATCCAGAAAGGTTCTGCAAATCCTCAGCTTCCTCCCCTGAAGAAGGGGAGGAGGACGACGAGCCACGGAGCCTGAACTGTGAGGAGGAAGAGGAGGATGAGGAAGAGGAGGAGGCTGCGTTTTCGAGCAAGGACAAAGTACCTCTAGAGAGCAGCGAGGAGAAGCTAGTGAGTAAATTTGACAAGCTTCCAGTGAAGGTGGTGCAGAAGAACGACCCCTTCGTGGTGGATTACTCGGCCAAGCTGGGGCGGGTGCAGGAGTTCGACAGCGGGCTCCTGCACTGGCGCATCGGCGGCGGGGACACCACCGAGCACATCCAGACTCACTTCGAGAGCAAGACCGAGCTGCCCTTGCCTCACAAACGAGCTTCCTGCTCCTCTGCCTTGAGGAAACGCTCAGCAGCCGAGAGCAACCCGAGCCCCAGGGAAGGGGAGGCCCCTGCTCCCGACGGCTCCTCGGAGAAGAGGATCACGGCCACCATGGACGACATGCTCTCGGCACGCCCCGGCTCCCTGGCAGGGGACGAGGAAGAGGTCAAAGCTTCGGAAACGGCCAAGGAGAGCAGCAAGTTTCCCTTTGTCATCAGCCCAGCTCAGAGCCACAGAAATATAAAAATCCTGGAGGACGAACCCCACAGTAAGGACGAGACGCCGCTCTGCACCCTCCTGGACTGGCAGGACTCTCTGGCCAAGCGCTGCATCTGCGTCTCCAACATCATCAGGAGTTTATCGTTTGTGCCAGGCAATGACTTTGAAATGTCCAAACACCCCGGGCTGCTGCTGATTCTAGGGAAACTGATCCTCCTACACCACAAGCATCCAGAACGCAAACAGGCCCCCCTGACCTACGAGAAAGAGGAGGAGCAGGACCAAGGGGTGAGCTGCAACAAGGTGGAGTGGTGGTGGGACTGTTTGGAGATGCTGCGTGAAAACACACTGGTCACGTTGGCCAACATTTCTGGGCAGCTGGACCTCTCCCCTTACCCGGAAAGCATCTGTTTGCCCATCCTGGATGGACTCCTCCACTGGGCAGTGTGTCCCTCAGCAGAGGCCCAGGATCCCTTCCCGACACTGGGGCCCAACGCTGTCCTCTCCCCTCAGAGACTGGTTTTGGAAACACTCAGCAAACTCAGCATCCAGGACAACAACGTGGATTTGATCCTCGCCACGCCGCCCTTCAGCCGCTTGGAGAAGCTGTACAGCACCATGGTGCGGTTCCTCAGTGACAGAAAGAACCCGGTGTGCCGGGAGATGGCCGTGGTGCTGCTGGCCAACCTGGCCCAGGGGGACAGCCTGGCCGCCAGAGCCATTGCCGTGCAGAAGGGCAGCATCGGCAACCTGCTGGGCTTCCTGGAGGACAGCCTGGCCGCCACGCAGTTCCAGCAGAGCCAGGCGGGGCTGATGCACATGCAGAGCCCTCCCTTCGAGGCCACCAGCGTGGACATGATGCGCCGCGCCGCCCGCGCGCTGCTGGCCCTGGCCAAGGTGGACGAGAACCACTCGGAGTTCACCTTGTACGAGTCGCGGCTCTTGGACATCTCCGTGTCGCCTTTGATGAACTCTTTGGTTTCACAAGTTATTTGTGATGTACTGTTTTTAATTGGCCAGTCATGACAGCTGTGGGATCCGAGCCCCCGTGTGCGTGTGCGTGAGTGGAGAACTTAGAAACTGACTGTTGCCCTTTATTTATGCAAAACCACCTCAGAATCCACTGTCTGCCCTGCGCTGTCCTGCTTCTCCCTCGGGGAAAGATGTCCCCGGCCCCTCTCCCCCTCCCCTGCCCTTCAAATTTGTCCTGAATCCCTTATTAAAGGAGACAAAGTTCTGTCTACATAGAAGACTTTTTTTATTTTAACCAAAGTTACTGTCGTTTACAGTGAGTTTGGGGAAAGACGACTTGCCGTGTTATCCCATTGACAGGCACCACTTTCATAACTGTTTTTAATGGTAAACTCTGAAGGACAAAAAGTGACTGCTGAACTCTGTGTGGTTTATCGTTGTACATTCACAATCTTGCAGGAACCAAGAAGTTACCAGTTGTGAACAGACCTTGTCCAAGGGAGGCCTGTGCAGTAGCGTGTAGAACTCCATGTACTGTACACCTTAAACTGTAAACATACTGTAATAATGTCTCACATGGATAAAAAAAAAAAAAGAAAAAAACGCTGGATCAGCAGCAAGCTGTAGTTTTTAAAAATGTTTTTAGTTAATGTTGAGGAGAAAAAAAGGCTTTTCCCCCAAAGTATAATGTGTGAACCTACAACACCCTGACCTCTTTCTCTCTTCCTCCTTGATTGTATGAATAACCCTGAGATCACCTCTTAGAACTGGTTTTAACCTTTAGCTGCAGCCCAGCGCTGCCACGTGTGTATATATATATGACGTTGTACATTGCACATACCCTGAGACTCCTGCAGTTTTGTCCCCTCCCACCCTTTATAGTATGACGAGTTAACGAGTTGATGACCTGCAAAAGCGAGACACAATTATTTAATCTCTTGCCAGACATCCCTCCCTGGAGGATGCTGTACAGGTCTCTGTGTATAAAGTCATTGCTGTCTCAGCAGCCAATCAACTTATAGTTTATTTTTTCCTGTTTTTGTTTTCTTTCTAATCGAGGTGTGAAAAAGTTCTAGGTTCAGTTGAAGTTCCTGATGAAGAAACACAATTGAGATTTTTCAGTGATGAATTCTGCATATTTGTATTTCAGACGATGTAGCTAAAAACTTGATGTAAATTCCTCCCTTTTTTCCTTTTTTGGCTTAATGAATATCATTTATTCAGTATGAAATCTTTATACTATATGTTCCACGTGTTAAGAATAAATGTACATTAAATCTTGGTAAGATGTTTGTAAGGGTTTTTTTTATTGGCAGTTCAGTGCAGCCAGGTGCTGCCCAAGGCCTGCCCTGCTCAGGAGCTCTGATGCTGCTTGCCCTGACTTTGCTTTCCCTGCTGGAATTTTTCCTTAGGAGCTGCCCAGGCTCGGGATTTGCAGCGTGAGGTGAAGCTGTGGCTGCCAGGGAGGGAAGGGCCTTGCTGGGAAGGGAAGCAGTTCCCTCCCAGCTCTGTAAAATGGAAAATTTTCGCTCCCCTCGCATTTTTCACATTTTCTTGGGAGCGTGGTGTGGACTCTTGACTTCTCCCGAGGCTGGGGCTTTCCAGCAGACAGAGCTCCCAGGCCCTTCAGCAGGCTCAGGCTCTCTGGATGAGGAGCTGCACGTTTTCAGGGCATTTCATTTAGCCCGAGGCTCTTTCCTCAGTGGATACTGGAAGTAGGGTAGCTACAACTGCTCCGAGCTCATTAAAGAAAAAGCAGCTTTTTTTTTTTTAAAGGCAAGCGTCATTTTTGTTCAAAAATTCCCCTTGTTTTATCTTCCCAGCCCTCTCCTCGGGAGCTCTCAGTTCCCAGAGCCTTCATTCCTCAAACTTCAGATTCCTGGGAGTGATTGTGCTGAAATCAAAGAGTCTTTTTCCTGAAAAGTCTTGTCTGTCAGCAGGAATGGTGGGAGCTCTTCCTGGCAGGAGAGTCCTTCAAATGGATTGCTCAAAAGGCAGGAATGGTGCTGGGCTTCCTTGGCTTTAGAAAACGCTGGGAACCGAGTGTGAGACCAGGATTCTGCTGGACTCTGCCACACTGTCAGTGCAAACCCGACTTCCCTGACAATTCAGTTCTGTGTTCCAGGAGTTGTGTTTCACCTGATGAAATGGATGTGGAAGTTCTGCTGCTTTTCCTGAACAGAAAGGAGCCATCAGTGAAGTGGAAACAGGTAACGTCAGCAGCTTTCCCTGTGGATTTAATCTGGAGTCAGTGCCACGTTTGGGAGGGAGAGGAGAGGCAGGAGTGTTCCTGGAAATCCATTTTACCAGAATTATACACCCAGTTGAGGTGAGAGATGTGTGCACAGACACAGCCCCTGTGCACTGCTAAAACAGTGGAAATAAAGGGCGGACATGAGAAATGAGTAAAATGAGAACAGTGTTCCCAGTTTGGCCACACCTGAACTTTGACCTTGGCTGCCTGGAGCTCAAATCCTTGATGCTTTGGGCCTGCTTTGTACCCAAATCCATTCAGGGAATTCCTTGAAACACCTTTTGGACCCCAATCACTCTGCTGTTCCCCATTTTTTTGCCAGCAAAGAAAACGTGAGTTCATCCAAGCCTGATGCCGGATGAAAAGCACTCGGGGATTCTCCTTCAGGGCTCAGCAGCCCGCGATGGTTTCTCCTTCATCCCAGGGTGGATGCGGGCAGACCCTGAGTTTTCCATCAGGGATCTGGCCTGCGGTGAACTCAAGTGTTCTCCTTTGCTGGCAGAAAAGGGGAAGGGCAGAGAGGTGGGCTCAGAGAGAGGCGTGCAAGGAACTCCTGTAGGAATGGAAAGATTCGGAGCAAAGCACGAAGGATTTGCGTTCCGGCCGCCCTGGGAATGCGGGATGTCGGTGGGTGTGGGGCTGGGAACAGCGGGGCCTGTGCCCTCCCGGCAGCCCTGCAGGGCGCAGCTCTGCCCGCCTCAGGTCCCTGCTGACGGGACACGGCCCTGGGGCTGCGCCGGCCCCGCTCCCGGCCCGGGTTCCCCGCCCGCCCTCAACAAAGATGGCGCCGCCCGCCCCTTCCCTTCCCCACACGCGCGCGCCGCCGCCACGCGCCGCCGGAAGGGGCGGGGCCGGAAACCGCGCGCTGTGGGGCGGGCGGGGCCAGGGAGCCGCGCGCTCGGGCGGGGAGGAGCGGGCGGGGCCTCCTTCCTCTGTTCCTCCGCAAGGGGGCGCTGCGGGACCGGGACCGGGACCGGGATCGGGATCGGGATCGGGACCGGGATCAAGCCGGGATCAAAGCCGGGATCGCAGCCGGGCTGTCCCGCCGCCCTCGGCCCGGCCCCGACCCCGGCAGGAGCCGCACGGTGAGGCCTGGAGGGGCCCAGCCGCCGGGAGGCCTCGCCCCGGGATCCCGGGTCAGGCGCGGGGTCGGGCGGGGTCGGTCGGCCTTCCAGGCCTGGCTGGCGGCGGGAACGGTACCGGAGGGGTTGGGGACAGCCCCGTGTGCTCGGGGCCCTGCACCCTCCGGTGTCCGGTGACTCCTCAGCACACCGGTCCCTAATCCTGGGAATATCCTAATCCTGGGAATCCCGCTGTGCCCCTCAGCACCGGCTCTGCCGCGGCCTCTGCTCATCCCGCCTTGTCCTGTGTTGGAGGGGTGAGCTCTGCCCGTGTGGGCTCCACGTGCGGCCGCGGCGGGTTTGGCTCCCTGGGTTCTGATCCAGGCAGGTTTGGTTCACCCCCTGAGCTGTTACAAGAGATAAACACTCCCGTTTCCATCCACGTCCAAGGGAAGCGCTGCTGGAGCTGCAGCCTCTGGACCAGCAGCTGAACCGGGCAGGAGAGATGGCCGAGAGCTCCCAGCCCACAGAAACAGCGCCAGGCAAACAGGATTTCCAAAATCCTGCTGCATTCCCTTGGCACCCCGGTTAGAAGAGGTTTTAAAACCACTGGAGCGTCTGTTGAGTCTGCCAGCAGGTTGGAGAGGCAGCAGGGGTGCCCAGGCCGTGCTGGATGCCGGGGCACGATCCCTTGCCCTGGCTGCCGGCCGTGGCGAGGGAAATGCCGCTGTGGCGAGCGGCTGCTGCCACCGGCTGGTCCCTGCCCTGCACTGCGGCTGCCTGGAGCCGTCCTGGCCCCGTTCCCCGGCCCCTGCTCCGTCCCTGCTCACATCCCTCTCCCAGCGCCGCTTCCAGGCTCCGATTCGCAGCTGAGAGCCACGGGAAGCGCAGAACCCAGAGAGGAAAACGCCTGTAATTAAGACTTTGCATCTTTTTCTGCTGGAATATTTTTAACACCCTTCTCCCTCTCCTTTTTGTGTTCGTGCAGGTGCTCCTTCCCAGAGGATTTTTGGGGCAGAGCCATTCCCGACGCTGCGTTCTGGATCCAAATGGGGCTTGTGGGCTGCAGCTCTTTTGAAGGCTTTGCTCTGTCACAAGGTGTGCTGCGTCGTGACAGGAACAGGCTTTTTAAAGCTGTTTGCTTTGAGCTCTCTTGGCACATTCAGGCGAGGCTTTTTCTCTACTTTTTCAAAAAACTATATTTAAAGTGCCGGGACCATTTTTGCCGCTGTGCTTTAATAGGATTTGCAGCTGTGAATGCGCTTTAAAAGAGTTTACAGCTGGGTTGAAGTGTCCCCTCGCTTAAAATAACGTCACAGCTTCATGATGCAGGAGAATGTGCCTCCCACCAGTTGCTTTGTGAGTGCTGGGGAGCACAAGGGGAATAGGAGCAACCCCAGAACTTTTATTTGTGGTTAAATAGGAAGCATAACCCTGTGGTTGGGGTTTGGAGTTGTCAGTGAGCCAGTCAGGATCTTGGTTTTTGCCTTGCTGATGATTTGCTCTCTGCCCTCTCGTGCAGTTCCAGCCTGGCAGGGTTTTTTCTCCACAATGGCAATAGGGAAATCTCAGATTTTAGGTTGTGGAGTGATCGATCTGGGGATCTCTGTGTGTTACAAAGTGCTGGAGCAGAGAGAAGGGCAGGATGTGGTGTCACTGGGACTCGGTGAGAGCTGTGAGCTGTGTGTTTGTCAAACTGAAAAGCAGTTGGTGGCTGGGGAGCCAACGGAAGAAACGTTTTATCTTAAAGAGCTGCACGGCAGATCCTGCCCACCTCCCGTGGCTCAGGGCCAGGGGTTCAGAGGTGGCCACCACAGCAGCCAGGACATGCAGACACTGACCTGGGGAGGCTCCACAGACAGTTTTAAATCCCTCAGAGGAGGTTTGCAGGGAGGAGGTGGACTCAGCATGTGCAGCGTGCCCTGGCAGGCAGGTGCCAGGAGGGAAAAATACTCCAGGGAAAACTGGAGGTGGTGAGGGTGGAGTGGCAGAGTTTGTGTCCTGCCCGTGCTGCCTGTGCTGGGGGAAGCTGTGTGTTCTGGCAGAGCTGGTGACACAAAGCCAGCTGAGTAAATCCATTCTTGGCTTCCCAGGGGCAAGGAGAGAGGAGGGAGCTCCTGGCAGCCCCACTCAGCAACTGCTTACACAGGGGTTACACTCAGAGTCCACATGAGTTCTGTCTCCATTCCAGGAAAAAGAGGCTTAAATGCCATTCAGTGCATTGGGACTGGATGTGTGTGAGGATGCTTGGCACAGCCCTGGCTCCAGCTGCTGGAGCAGCCTCTCTGCTCCAGGGATTTTCTCTGGCCTGGTGAAGAGTGGGGTCAGAGAACACACCATAACCTCCCTCCCTCAGTGTCTCGGTCAAGGTTAAGAAGTCAGGGATTTATTTTTTTTAATAGGAACAATATCAAAGAGGTCTCTGCATCCCCGATCCATGATCTCTTCCATAAGTGATTTCCTTGTTCACAGAGACTTGCAACCTTTAAAGTGCCTGATAGTAAATATAGGTGCAAAATTCACAAATGAGGCTGAAGCCAGAAATCCCTTTCTTTGTCCTCTGTGTTTACCAGCCCAGGTTTCCCAAACTGGAAGGAGAATTCCCCTGGTGAGCTCCTGAGGCCATTCCTGAGTGTGGGATGGAGCTGTGGAGCAGGGCAGACCCCCAGCTCCGGGAGGTCGTGTGCTTCTCCCTGCGCTGCCGGGCGCTGGCACTGCTGCTGCAGGCAAGTCTGTCCCAGGCAGAGAGGCTCTGCTGGGCTTTGCTGCTCCTCCCTTCAGTGCCCCTGAGATCCGTGAGCTGCTTCTGCACAATGGGGAAATCATCTCTGGACAGACTGTCTGCAGCCATGGGTTTTACTGACAGCTTGCTGTCAAGTAAAATTGCATAAATTCCCTTGTAACTTGCTGTGTTTTCACGCTGCTGCTGTGAGAGGCTGGTTTGGCTCAAGGTGTGTTTATCCACAGAAAAGGAACAATAATCTCCTCCTGTGCGTTCCTCCCAGGTCTGATTTTCAGAGACATCTTGCTCTGAGCATGGGAGAGCTTGGCTCTGACAGCCAGCACAGAGCCCAGTCACAGCCCTGAGCAGCTTTCCCTGGCCAGTTCTGCAGGGATTCAAGCTGGATCTGTCCCAGTTATTCTGTTCCAAAAAGTCGCGTTTGCACCTTTTCACAACCTCGTGGGCATCTCTACACACAGCCCTGAGGGGCTCTGGCCTCCGTGCCACCCTCACCCCTTGTTTGAGCCCCAGGAGCTCTGGGTACCAGAGCATCTCTGCTAGCCTGCAGCCCTCTCGTGTTTTCCAGGCCGTGTTTAACCTGCTGATCCCGGACCACGCTGCCGACGCCTTCTCCCCTCCTCGCCTGGGTGCTCCGAGCCCTTGGGACGCGCTGCTGGAGCGGCTGCTGGGCGGGCTGGCCCGCTGGGACAGCGAGCATTTCCTGTTCATCGCCGAGCACGGCTACCTGCTGGAGCACAACTGCGCCTTCCTGCCGCTGTTCCCGCTCAGCCTGCGGCTGCTGGCCGCTGTGCTGCCGTGGCCGCTGCAGCTGCAGCCCCGCAGCCGCCTGCTGCTGTCGGCAGCGCTGCTCAACGCGCTGCTCAGCGCGCTGGCGGCCGCGGCGCTGCTGGGGCTGGGCCGGGCCGTGCTGCAGAACCGGCGCCAGGCGTTCCTGGCCGCCCTGCTCTTCTCCATCAGCCCCGCCGGAGTGTTCATGGCAGCTGCCTACTCGGAGAGCGCCTTCGCCTGCCTGGCCTTCGGCGCCATGTGGCAGCTGGAGAAGGGGCAGGGCTGCCTCAGCGGGCTGCTCTTCTCCCTGGCTGCCGGTGCCCGTGCCAACGGGCTCGTCAACGCTGGCTTCTTCCTCTACTCGCGTGCCAAGCGCTTTGCTCACCAGCTGCAGGGGGGATCAGCGCCCCTGAGGAAGCTGCCCTCGTTGTGCAAGCAGGTCCTCAGCCTGGCATCTTCAGCGGCCCTGATGTGCGCTGGGATTTTTCTGCCTTTCGCTGTGTTTCAGTATTACGCCTACGTGAGGTTCTGCAGGCCTGGCACGGGCCTGGCTCAGAGCATTCCTGAGCCACTGCTGCAGCTGGCACGGGACAAGGGCTATCGTGTGGCAGGCACGGGTGGGGCTGAACCCCCCTGGTGCTCCCAGCGCTTCCCTGTGGTCTATTCCTATGTCCAGGACACTTACTGGAACGTGGGATTTCTGAGGTACTTTGAGCTCAGACAGATCCCAAATTTCTTGCTTGCTCTGCCTGTCACCCTTCTGGGCTCGTGGGCTGCCTGGACCTACATCAGCACAAACCCCCGGCACTGCCTGACCCTTGGTCTGGAGAGGGATAAGAGTGAAGAGAAGGGAAAGGCCAGAGGTGGATTTTGTGGCCCCGCTGCCTTCGTGTACGTGGTGCACAGCTCGGCCCTGCTGGTGTTCGGGTTCTGCTGCATGCACGTGCAGGTAGGACGGGGGGGATTCCCTGTGGGGCCGGGGCAGTGACAGCACAGCAATTTGGGTGATTTCTGCTCTGCCTCTTGTCTCCAGGTGCTGACCCGGTTCCTTTGCTCCTCCTCTCCCATCCTCTACTGGTTCCCAGCTCACCTGCTCCAGGAACACGAACCTTTACTCTGGAGCACAGGGACTGATAACCCGAAATCTGGGAAGCCTCTTGTGGGTAAATCTCCCAGTTCCTGTGGGAAGAGGACCTCGGACAACCCCGTTGTGAGGCTGCTGCTGAACTGGCGATTGCTTACCCCCCTCAGCAAGAGCATCCTGGGCTTCTTCCTGGGCTACTGGCTGCTGGGGCTGATCCTGCACTGCAACTTCTTGCCATGGACGTAGCGGGGTGTGCGGGCACAGGCAGCAGTGGGACAGGAGCTCTGCTCAGAACTGAAACTCACCCGCTCTGAAAGCCTGCGGAGGCTGTGAGGACGCTGTTGTTGCAGTTACAGAGGTGTCACTCCATGTGCCAGGCGGGTTGTTCCGTGTGGTGCGATGCTGCAGCATCCTGCCCCGCTCAGCTGGCGGTGCTGAGCGCCACAGTTCCCATCAGCTGCCTGGGCTGGGGAAGGCACCTCGCCTCCTGCATCTCCTGGGGGAGGTTATGGCACGCCCTGATTTGCGGCAGGATCCCGGCATGGATTTGGGGATGTCCCGGGATGTGTTGTGGGCACGGCAGGAGGAGGGGAGGGCCCGGCTGCCCGGAGCTGTTCTGGCTCCTTTTCGGGGGAGCCGGTTGCGGGCTCCGAGCCAGGGAACACGGCGGGGGCTGTGTGGGCACAAGCATGGCCCCAATAAACGTGTGAAAGTTACCGCAGAGGCGGCGCGGCCCGCGCTGCCGCCATCGGGATCGGCATCGGGACATGACGACACGGGAGGGGCGGGGCATGTGATGTCACTATGACGTTTTTGGGCGTGGCCGCAGACGGCGGTGGCGGGCGGAACCACGCGGGCGACGTGCATGCGTCATGACGCCGGATGATCGGGGGCGTGGCCACGTGCAGACGCGATGACGTTCGGGGGCGTGGCCACGTGCCGACGCGAAGTCCGGAGGGGGCGGGGCGGTGCGACAACGGGATGACGCAAGCAGGAAGCGGGAACACACGATGGCGACGCGACGAAACAATGACGTAGAGGTGGGCGGGGCGATGAGACAAAGCGGAGACGCGGCAGAGGGCGGGACTGTGCGGCGACGCGGGGTGGGGGAGAGATGCTGGGGGAGATCACGTGGAACGGGAGTCAGGGACACGTGACAATGGGGAGGGAATCACGTGGCCCGGGAGTCGGGTCCACGTGACACTGGGGGGTCACGTAGGCCGGGGGGCGGTGCCACCTGACACCGGGAATGTGACGTGACGTAGGGGGCATGGTCACGTACCAACGCGATGACGTAGAGGGGCGTGGCCCTGGCGGCGGGGGTACTGTGGTGGGGGCGTGGTTACGTGACGTCACCGCGGGTCCGGCGTTGGAGTCAGGGTTTCTGCCAGTCCTGGGAGCTGCCGCTCCAAGAGCCCTGGTTGCCTTTGGGGCGCCAGACGCTTCCTGCAAAGTGACATCAGGAAACCGCCGGAGTGAGTTTTGTTCCCAGGGAAATCGGGCACCGCTCGTGTTCGGGGATCGGGGCCGGGCTTCGCTGCGGGACCTGCCCGCTGTGGCGGCGGGGCCGGCAGGGGGCGCTGTGCGGCGGGGCGGGGCCTGGGATCGGGGCCGGGGCGGGACCGACGGGGCCGGGCCGGGGCTCGGGGCCGGGCCGGGGATCGCGGCCGGGGCTCCGGGCGCCGCGGCGGGGCCATGAAGGACTGCGAGTACCGGCAGATCCCGCCCGGGGCGGCGGGCCCGGGCCCGGGCCAGGGCGGGTCGGTGTCGGTGTCGCCGTCGCCGGCGGGGCCCGGAGCGGCGCGGCGGCCCCTCAGGAAGTGGGAGGTGTTCCCGGGCCGCAACCGCTTCTTCTGCGGCGGCCGCCTCATGCTGGCGCGGCACAGCGGCGTCTTCGCCCTCACGCTCGGCCTCATCCTGGCCACCAGCGGCCTCTTCTTCGCCTTCGAGTGAGTGTGGGGCCGCGGGCTGCGTGCCTCGGGTGCTGCCCCTCAGGGCTGCGAGCGGCGCCTGCTCCCCTCCGCATGGCCTGCCCTGGGGGAGCGGGGCTAGCTGGGCTGGCTGGGCTGGCTGGCAGCCCACGCTGGCCCCCGTGCTGGGAGGGAGGTGGGCTGGGGGTCACCGTCCCCCCGCGGGATCCCCGCTGTCCCTTCTCCCCGCAGTACAGCCTCCAGACCCCCTTTGCAGGCAGTCACTGCCCCATCACCCGGCCCCAGCTGTGTTTTTGCGGGTACGGGTTTGTTCTGCGCCTTGTTTGCCCAGTCTGGCCTCGGGAAGGGGTTTAACATCCCCCAGGGTGCCCCCCTGGCCTCTAAATGCAGCTCCCAAGAAGAGAATTGGCCCAAAATTGCACCCAAGAAACCCCCAAGGCTCGTGGGCTTTGTCCATCCCTGGGGTCTAGGAACAGCGTTTGTTCTAAATGGTGAAACCTTCGGGGTCCCACCTCGAGAGTCTGGGGAAGAAGGAGCCGCCAGTCCCCTTTCCTTTGGAAAGCTGGTCCAGGGACGCTCCCTGCTCCTGCTGCCCGAGGGAGGGGACAGCCAGGAGCATCCCGGTGTGTCCTGTGCTGCCCTGGGGAGCTGGGCACAGAGCACCGTGGGTTCCTGACACCTTGGAGGGTTCTGGTGTCCTGCCTCTGTTTCTGTCCCGGGAGGGATGGGAGCCGCTTTTTTTTTTTTCTTTTTTTTTTTTTTATTCCTTTTTTTTTTTTTATCCCTGCAAGTGTCAGAGTAAAGCTGCCCGAGCCTGCTGGTGAGGAGATGAAAGTGCTTGATCGGATTAGAGGTTCTGAGAAGTCAGATGAGCTGAAAGGCACTGGCAGCTGCGGGGAGCAGGCACAGCTTCCCGGTGGAAAACCCCTTTTCTCAGCATCCTCCGTGCCCTGGCAGCTCTGTCTGCCGGGCAGCTCAGCACAGTGCCGGCTTTGTGTGGCCAGGCAGGGGGCACGGGACATCTGCTCTGCCTCCCTTCTTGCCGAGTCACTCTCTCGTGCTTGAGGATGCCCTGGGGCTCTCCAAGTTGTTATTTTAGCAGGATGCCTCTGTTGCACAGGCTCCGGTTTGCTGGGTGTACAGCAAATGCATCTTGCCTGTGTCTGCACTTCATGGTTTCTATGGGAAAACCTGGAAAACCTTGCACAGGGTGCCCAGAGCAGCTGTGGCTGCCCCTGGATCCCTGGAAGTGCCCAAGGCCAGGCTGGACACTGGGTCTGGGAGCAGCTGGGACAATGGGAGGTGTCCCTGCTGTGGCAGGGGTGGGATGGGATGGCTTTAAGGTCCAAACCAAACCATTTGGGCATTCTGTGATTTCTGTCGTTTCTTGTTCCCTAGTGGGGCAGAGTGGGCAGGAAAGGGGTGACAACAAGCTCGGGTCTCTCACAGAGCTCTCTGTCCATGACTGAGGGGCTCAGGCTTGGACTGGAGGGGTTTTGTTGCTTGGTGGGTGCTTTGTTCTGGACAGCTGAGCTGGGAGGTGAAACAAAAGTTGCTTAATCCTCTCCGAGTGCTGCAGAGCCTGAGCACTGCCTGCAGCCCTCAGGACTGGGGTGGCCCATCCTGTGCTGGCTCTGGGTGCTGATCAGCCCTCTGCAGGAGGGGACGGTGGCTCTGTGTGTGCAGGGCTGTGTCCTCTCTGTCCCCAGCTGCCCTGCTGTGGGGTGTGATCACAGCAGTCCCCATCTCTGCAGGAACAGCCCCAGCTCAGCTGCAGAGCCCACTGCCCTGTGATAATTCATGGTGTGATGTCCCAGCTGGCAGCAGCTCCGTGCAATGATTGGTAACACTTCCATTTTATTTATCTTTTAACAGCTGCCCCTTCCTTGCCAGCCACCTGACCCTGGCCATCCCCATCATCGCCGCCGTCCTCTTCTTCTTTGTCATCAGCTGCCTGCTCCAGACAAGCTTCAGAGACCCAGGGATCCTGCCCAGAGCCACCCCCAGCGAGGCTGCAGACCTGGAGAAGAGAATTGGTGAGAGCTCTCATTGATCCCTCTCCTGTGTTTGGCTCTGTGTGTGTCTGTGCACCTTTCAGGCTCTATGAGTCCCCTTTTTTTTGGCTCTTGGCTCCTGAAGGTTTGTCCAGGGGGTGAGAAAAATGCAGAGTATCAGATTGTGAGGCTTTGCCAGCCGTGGTGAGAGGTGCAACACTCCTCTGGCACAGCAGAGCAGCTCAGGTGCTTTTTGTTCCTCTTCAGTCCCAGGCAGCAGAGTTGAAGGATAATTAATGCTTTTTGATACTGATTTGCCATTGAGCCTGCTGTGCTGCAAGGTGTTCTTTAGAGCAGGCTGATGTTTGTCCTCTTCTAAAAACTGCTCAGTCACTCTGGTTTGGGGACAGCCAAGGAGGTGTTTGCATCCAGGAGCTCTGGACCTCGTTGATGTGACAGGTTGGAACAAATGTTTCAGCAAAGCTGATGTGAGACAGCTTGAGTCTGTCCTGCTGAAGACAGATGCAAGGCAGTAATTCTGCATCTGACTTTTAAAATGGTTTTTGAATATCCCCAGAGTGGTGATCCATGTTGCTATTTATAAGGGCCTAAAGCAGTAATCTGGCTGCAGATGCTGCCTGATGTGCCAGCTGTTACTGCTAATATAATCCACTTATTATCCTCTTAACATGCTGACTGTTGCATCACTATTTCTGAAGAGCTCCTCACAGCTGCAAAGGTACTTCTTTGGGAGTGACTAAAAGGAATAACGCCCAAAAGTGCAGTCATGATCCCGGGGGTTTCCAGCTATTGCTGTGTACAGGAGCAGTCTCCAGCCCCCAGGGAATAATGGAGTGCCAGCACACAGAGCTGTGACTTGCAGTGCCCCTGAAAATCCTCAGTTTAAACCTGGAGGAGGAGGAATCCTCTTGTGCTGTGAACACAAACATGTCAAATTCCAGGAATCTGCTGGAGCACTTGAGACCTTCTGCTGTCCTTCCCCACAGTGATGGAGACAGATCCCTGCAGGCTGGGAGTGCAGCAGCTGTGGGTCACAGGTTGTGTGCTGGCAGTGGCAGGGATGCTCCTGTGGCAGTGCCACTTGTGCCTTCACGGCCTGCTGTGACCCTCTGGACACGCAGGGATGAGCTGCTGCTCCTGGGCTGCTGCTTTGCACTCCCCAGCACTGGGCACTCACTGCTTCCTCCTGGCATCCCAGCAGCATTGCCCCTGAACAAAGACAGGCCATAAATACTGTGAGGAGCTGACTGGAGCTCTTGGCTGCCTGCAACAAATCCTGTCGTGTGTTCTGTTAGAGCCAGGAGAGCATGTGCCACCCCCTGCCCCTGCTGGGGTGGCACAGGGCTGTGATGTCGCTCCTTGTCCCTGCAGACAGCATGGGCAGCTCCACATACCGTCCCCCAGCCCGCACCATGGAGGTGGTGATCAACAAGTACGTGGTGAAGCTCAAGTACTGCTACACCTGCAAGATGTTCCGGCCCCCGCGCACCTCGCACTGCAGCGTCTGCGACAACTGCGTGGGTGAGAGGGGCAGGGCCGGCCACAGCTGCTCGGGGGCGGGGTATCCTGAGCTGGAGGGACCCCAGGGATCACTGACCCAGCTCCTGGCCCTGCTCAGACACTCCAACAGCCCCACCTGGGCATCCCTGGGAGCTTTGGCCAAGAGCCCTGGAGCTCTGGCAGCCTTGGGGTCATGCCCAGCACCCTCTGGGGGAAGAATCTTTCCCTGATCTCCAGCCTGACCCTCCCCTGGCACAGCTCCAGTCCTTCCCTCTGGTCCTGTCACTTGTGTTCCTGGACAGATTGCTTTTTGCTTCTCCTGAAGGATTATAAAACCAGATACTGCATGGTCTGTCTCCTTTGCATTTAAATTGAAAGCAGCGCTGGTGCAGTGGCTCAGGGCAAGGGGCAGCACGTCCAGGACTCCATGGCTCTGTTTGCCCTGGCTTTGGGAGGAGGGTTCTGTGAAATGCAGTGCTCCACAAACACAGGGTTTGCTGCAGGCTCGTCGTTGTGTGAGCCCTGGCTGGTACAGGGCCCACGGGAGCTTTGTGCCTCTGCACTGCTGCCGGGAGCTTCTGCCCGGGGTGCAGGGGAACGTGGGCCTGTAGCTGCTCATTCTGGGGGGGGGCTGAGCACAGTCTGCTCCGTGTTGGGAGCCCTCCTCACCTCGAGCCTTTGTTGCAGAGAGGTTCGATCACCACTGCCCCTGGGTGGGCAACTGCGTGGGCAAGCGCAACTACCGCTACTTCTACGCCTTCATCCTGTCCCTGTCCTTCCTCACCGCCTTCATCTTCGCCTGCGTCATCACCCACCTCACCCTGCGTAAGTCACGGCGGCTGCAGGGGCTCTGGTGCTCCCAGCACAGCTCTGGCTGGGGAGGGAAGGGTCTGGGTGGGTTCCAGCAGCCGAGGGGTTAAAGGGTCCCAAGGCGTCAGGCAGCCCTGGATCAGCCCTTGCTGCAGAGGGGCTGTGGGAGCTGGGGTTTGTCCCTCGGAGCTGGGGTTTGTCCCTCGGAGCTGGGGTTTGTCTCTCGGAGCTGGGGTTTGTCTCTCGGAGCTGGGGTTTGTCCCTCGGAGCTGGGGTTTGTCCCTCGGAGCTGGGGTTTGTCTCTCGGAGCTGGGGTTTGTCTCTCGGAGCTGGGATTTGTCTCTCGGAGCTGGGGTTTGTCCCTCGGGGCTGGGGTTTGTCTCTCGGAGCTGGGGTTTGTCTCTCGGAGCTGGGGTTTGCTCCTCGGAGCTGGGGTTTGCTCCTCGGAGCTGGGGTTTGCTCCTCGGAGCTGGGGTTTGCTCCTCGGAGCTGGGGTTTGCTCCTCAGAGCTCGTGAGCTGGGGTGCAGCCACCCTTTCCCTGGCAGGGAAGGCGATTTCCCACCAGCCCCACATCCCCTGAGCCGTGTCTGGGCACTGACATTCCTGTGGTGTTCCAGACTGGCTGTTCCTCAGACAGACAGACAGACAGATCCACGGGGGTGGAGCTGTGGCTGGAGGGGCAGGGCTGCCTGCTGGGATGCCATTCCTTGTTCTGTTTTGTTTTGCAGGCTCTCAGAGGGATGGGTTCCTGGCCACTCTGAAGACAACCCCTGCGAGATATCCTTGTGCTGGCAGCAGCTGCTCGGGGTGCCCAGCAGCACTAATCACTGACAGAGAGGGACCAGGAGCTCTTTGCACCTCATCCTGGTGTCCTTTCCCCAGATTAATTTAGTCCCCTGGCTACCTGGGACTAAGGGTGGGTGACAGAGTTTCCCAGGACACGAGTTTAGGTGGGAAGAGCTGGAGCAGGCTGTGCCTTGGTGGATCCCTGCAATCCAGCTTGGCGAGTGGGAAGCTTGCCCGAACCTCCCCAGACAGTTCTCAGCCTGTCCTTGTGGGATGATTTTGTTCCTTGAGACCTCCTTGACTTTTGTTTCACTGTGCTGGAGCTGGTGATTTGTTTTTTCTCAGTCTGGTCTATTTTGGGCCTCTCAGGTTTTCACACTTATTTAGTCGCCTCCAACCTGACAACAAATGAAGATGTAAGTACCTGGATGTTTGTCCTGCTGCCAGGTGCCCATGACCCATCCTGAGCAGCTTCTCAGGGAGTTCTTGGCTGCCTCAGTGCAGAGCCAGCAGCCTGTGCCCACAGCTGCACTTTCAGGTGGCTGAGTTAGAACCATCACGTGTGTGTTTTTTCCAGTCTGTTTGTGGCCTTGCTTAAAATTAGGAGTGGTGAGATTAAAAAAGGAAGGCTGGCCCAGAGGGGTATCTGGGTGTGAGCTTGGTGATCTGAATTCAGCATCCTGTGTGACCATGGGTTTCCTCTGAGACCCTGGGCCAGTCCCTTTGTGTCTGGCGGTTCCTCATCTCTAATTAGCAAACGATGTACAGACATCTGATGAGATTTACCTTCAGATCTGGGGCGTGCACAGACTCCAAGGACCAAATGAGTGCCCTGAGTGGGGCAGGTTCTATGGAAAAGCAGGATCTGTCTGATCCTCAGAATCAAAATTCGCCTTTCTGGCCAGAAGTACCTGTAATCCCTGCTGGGAGCTTCCAGCACTGCAGAAGGTGTGTTTGCATCCCTTTTGGTTTTGTTTTTTCTCCTTTCCCCTCCGCCTTTCACTCAGGGGTGTGGCAGAGCTGCTCAGGGCTGTGTGAGTGAAGCTCACACTTTGTACCCAGCACTGGTGGCCCGTGGGCTCCAGCCTTCTGCTGCAGCTGGGGAGAGGAAGCAAAACAGGAGGAGGAAATGTGTTGGTGAAGGTGCTGGTGATGGTTGAGTGCAGCCTGAGCCAGATGTGCAGCTGCCCACCCCCTGTGCCAGATGTGCAGCTGCCCACCCCCTGTGCCACGCCTGGTTTCAGAAGCAGAGCTGGGGCAGCTGCTGGGCTGGGGACAGAGGAGCCTCTGGGCTGGGAACCCCCCCTGGGTGTTTGTTGAGCCTGAGGCACCACGAGCTGAGCCCTGCTCTGATGGGCTGCCAGCCCTGGGGACCACGAGGGGAGCAGGGCACGGGGCTGGTGTGGCAGATGGTGACAGTGACAGCACGGGGAGGGCACAGCTGGCAGGGCTGAACCTCAGCTGTGGCTGCAGACGTCCTCCCTCTGCTCCAGGACAAACCTTCCAGCCCTGCAGGGATCCACTGCTGTGTCACTGTCTGCTCTCCCATCCTTCCCCTCCTAATCTCTGCCCATCCCTTTCAGATCAAGGGGTCCTGGTCAAACAAGAGGGGCTCGGAGTTTGCCAATCCCTACAGCCATAAAAGCATCCTCACAAACTGCTGTGCAGTGCTGTGTGGGCCATTCCATCCCAGGTAAGGGCTCTGGGAATTGCAGGCTGCAGTGGGAGAGGAGCCTTGGGAAGGGCAGGTCTGGCAGGGCCTGTGGCAGCACAAACGCTGCTGCTCTGATGGGGAGCAGGAAAGCTTCCACTGCAGAGAAAGGCTGGAGATGGATGAGGAGCTGTGAACTGTGTTGGAACTGGATGAATGTGGGTCAGTTGTAGTTGTTCTGTGGAACTTGAAGTTAAGACAAGCCCTGCAGTTGGATAAGGGGAAGAACAGCACCAGAGCACTTGGCAGCAGATGCTCAATGCAGCACAGGCACTTCTTGTCCCCGTGGCAAGGGCTGGAATGAGGTGATCTTTAGGGACACAAACCATTCCATGCTTCTGTGATTCTTGGCAGGTTTTTGCTCCTGTGCTCTGGCAAACAGCCAGGGGAGATGCCCAGCAGTGCAGGGTCTGTGGTTTGGGTTTCTGACCAGCAGAGTGTCCCCAGGGCTGTCCCCAGTGCCCTGGGAGCCATCCCAGCTCTCACCAGCACTGAGGAATGCTCAGGGTCCCCCTCCAAAGGCTCCTCCCTGGCTGGGAGTGTCCCCGAGCACAGGACAGCTGCAGTTTGGTCACAAGATGGTGCAGTTGGGCAGGGGCAGGCCCTGCTCTGCTCCTCACCAGCTCAGGACCTGCAGGAGCTCCCAGCCTGTCCTGGGGCCGTGGGATCCCTGCAGGATCCAGTTTGGAGCTGTGAAGCAGCCCTGTGGTGCTAACTCGGTGTAACAGCAGCAGAGCAAAGTGTGTTTTGTATTTTATATCATATCCCTGCTCTCTGAAGTGTCCCCAGGCTTTTTGGTGGGTTCAGAGGTGCCAAAATGCAGAGCTGCCATTCAGAGCTGTCAGTCTGTGCATTCAGGGAGCCAGGCTGGGAGGTTGTGAGGAGGAGAAGAGCCTTTTTCTCCAGTTTGTTCCTCTTTCACATTGATTTCGTGTTGTGAAGCCCTTTGGCCAGTTCCCCTTTGGGTTTGTGGTGGCCCAGAGCTCCCTGTGGCTCATGGGATGGGTTCTGTGGCTTGTGCTGGGCAGGAGCCCTGTGCTCCAGCATCCTGCCTGTGCTGTGCTCAGCAAGAGGAGCCTCCCCTGTGGCCTTTTCAGTCTTTGTTCCCTGAACTCCCCTTTCTGTTTTGCAGTTTGATAGACAGAAGAGGATTTATCCAGCCAGATGTGGGGACCCCATCCAGTCCCAAGAGTGAAATCCCTTCCTTTGGAGCCAAAACTGACACCAGCATGGTAGGAGGCATTCCCTAGCAGTGCTGTGATGTTCCCAGTGCCTGCTGTGCCTGCACCTTGCTCCAGCCAGTCCCTTCCCCTGCCACAGCCCTGGCACCCAGAGCTGCCAAAGACTCGAGCCATGTGTTGCCTTCTCTTTTTTTTTTTTACATTTATTTATTATTTTTTGTGTATTTGTTTCACTGTGATGTGGCCTGCCAGGGGTTTTGCCTGACAGAGCCTGACAGCTTTTGGGACCCTTGGACTCGTGCTGGGAACTGGGGGGCCCTGGGGAGCCCCAGAGCCCTGAGCTCCAGGGCATTGCTGTGATTCCTGCTGGGAACGAGGTGGGCACTGACAAATGATCCCCACTCGGGGCTGGGCTGGAGGAGGTGCTGTGTGCCCGGTGTCCCTGTGTCAGCTCCGTGAACACTCCCTGTTCCCCTGGGCCCACCTGGGAGCTGTTCTGGCTCCCAGAGCTTCCCCTTTCCTTGGTAAGTTTGGCTGTTGAGCTGGGAGGCCAGTGAGGATGTCCTGGTGATCCCTGCTGGTCCTGTTTTCTGGCTGGGGCCGTGTTTTGGCCCTGCCAGTTGGTCAGACACGTTTTGCAGCAAGGACACGAGTCAGGGGACACTCTGTGCTCTGTGAGTCTCATGAGATGCAGGTCACAAGGGGTCAGGTTTGGCAGCTGCAGCTCCCCGGGATTGTGTGTGAATTCCTGAGGGTCACTCCCATCCAGGTGGAGTTTGACAGAGGAAGCAGCGAGGGGGAGCTGCTCTCTGATGAGCCCGTGCCGTGCTCGTGGTTTGGGTTTCTGACCAGCAGAATGTCCCCAGTGCCCTGGGAGCCATCCCAGCTCTCCTCCAGGGGCACCACTCTGTGTCCCCGGGGGGAAGGGAGAGTCACAAACCTTGTAGCAATACTTGAATCGTCTTATTAAAAGCTGCTGGATATTTTTGCACAATTTGTAGGATTTTTTTTCTATGTAGAACGTTTTCTGTCCTGCACAGGGAGCGTTGTGCACAGGGCACAGGCTCACAGTGCCGAGCTGCCTGTCAGGTTTCCTGGGGTCAGACAGACCAGTTTCAACCTGGGGCAGGGGCAGCACATTTTGGGGGGCAGCCCAGCCCCCCTGAGTTCACCAGCATCGTGCTCTGTACCCTGCAAGCGCCTGTGCCAGGGGGATGGCAGAGGAGCAGTGAGGAGGGGCGTTACCAGGGGCCAGACTCCTTCCTGTTTTTATTTAAACCAGTTTTCCTTTGTTACTCAATAAAATTCTATTTTTAAAGAGTTAACCGCTTGGATGATTCTTTTCCTCCTTGAAGACAGAAGAGGGCAGGTGTGTGCCGGGGTTTGGCATCCCTCAGGTGCCACTTGCATTCTGTTAGGCTCAGGCCTCACCTGGAACCTCCTGGCACGAGGGATGAGCAGCAGCTGGGGCTGCTGTGACTCTTGCTGCAGTGAAGGGGATTTGCTGTCCCACATTTCCAGGCTGCTGTCACCTCAGTGTCCTTTCCCCAGCTGTGCCAGCCCCTCTGGCCCCGTGGCAGGTGTGAGGTGCATAACCTCTGGTGTCTTCCCCAGGAGGATGCCTGCCAGGACTTTGCCATTTCCTGCACAGCCTGATGGGATTTGCCCCTCCTCGGATGTTTGCCCTGATTTCTGAGGGTTGGCTGGTAAGAAAGTGCTTCCTTCTCCCTCTCACCACTCGAGCCACCCATCTCATCTCCACTGCATGACAGCTCTGCCTCAGAGCCCATCACCCTCCAGCTGTGTTCACACCCCCTCCATCCCACCAGAATCCCCCTGGCATGGGGGCAGCGGTGCCAGGGCTGTGAGGGTGAGGGGCCACCTCAAGGCTTGGCCAGAGGAGCATGGGTTTGGTTTGCCCTGGCTTTGTGCTGGGGCTCAGCATGGGCTGGAGCCACCTGGTCTGCATGGGGGACAAGTGTGGGACACTTTGGGACACTGTGGGACACGGGCCAGGGATGGCCGAGGGCTCTGCAGCCTGGGGCTGGCTGGAGCACAGCCTGGCGTGGGTGTGTGAGGAGCCCCAGCCCCGGTTCGGTGTGTGGAGGGAGCTGGGGCAGCTCTGTACCCCCATCCCTGCCCCGTTCTGTGGCTCAGGTGCCCCCTCTGGCCTCTGCAACTCCCGGTTCCTCCAGCCGTGACCAAGGTAAGTTCCCTCAGGGCACCTTGGGGTGTCCTGTGTCACCTGCTGCCCCTCTGCCCCTCCTGCAGCACCCACGGAGCCCCCTCCTCGCTCCTGCCAGCCCGGTGCCACCGTACCAGCGAGCCTGGCTGCTCCTCCCTGCTCCTCAGCTCCTCCGTTCCTGGCAATAACTTCTCTCTCTCTTTCTCTTCCTCCTCTTCCTCGCCCCGGGCGGACCCAGCGCCAGCAGCCGCTGCCTCCCGTGGCGATCCCGGGACCGAGCCCACAGCCATGACCACCTCGAGTGCCTCCGCTCGCCAGGGCTGCGCCTCCTCCCCGCCCGGCCCGGGGGGCGCGGCCGCGGCTCGGGAAAGCTTTTGGGAGCCGCGCTCGGAGCTCAAAGCCATGCAAAGAAACACCCCGAGAACTCAAAGCCATACAAAGAAACACCCCGAGAGCTCAAAGCCATACAAAGAAACACCCCGAGAGCTCAAAGCCATACAAACACCCCGAGAGCTGTGTAGGAACCGCGGCTCCTGTAGGACCCCGAGGCCGGGGGTGGCTCCCGTGGCCACCAGCTGGACAGGACACCCCGGCACGTTCTGTCCCCGCCGCAGATGCTGGAATTGTCGCGGTTGGTGTCCCAGCGGGATTCTGGAAGGAGCAGGATCACGCCAGAGCATTTCCAGCCCAGCCAGGGGCACCAACCCCCAAACCCCCCGAAGCCGTGTCCGTGTGCCAGAGGAGTTTCCCGACGGGAATTCCTACCTGGTCAGTTTATTCATCCCTGCAGCCCCGGGCCCGCTCCCCTGGCAGCCTCCTCCCAGCACGGGCTGGTTTTAGGGGAAGGGGCAGCACCTCGAGCATCAACCCTGGGCTGAGAGCCGAGTGGAGCAGCCAGGCCTGCCCCAGCCCTGTAGGATTCACCATCTCTTTATGCCTTTTACTTTTGTAACACAATGAAAGTTTCTCCGATTCCCGTGCTCCGGTGTCTGGCTCTGCTCCGCCGGGGCAGGGGAGCGGCTCCTGCCTGGGCAGGCCCGAGCAGGGAGCCAGGGGAAGCCACTGAGGGCTGGCACCGCTTTGTCATCTGCCCTGGGGATGGGAGCCAGGAGCTTCCCGAGCTGGGCTGTGGCTCAGTTTGGGGCCAGTCTCAGCCATCCGTGGCTCTGCACCCTCCTGTGCAGGCTGGGAAGGAGCAGCGGGCAGTGCCCGCAGGACCCGGGGCGCTGTGAGCACCCCTTGGAAAAATGCGGTGTCCGCTGATGTTCGGGGAGCTGGCAGCGTCCCCACAGCCAGGGGGAGCAGCAGGGCTGGGCAGGGTGGCTAGACGGGCTCTGAGCATCCCTGCAGCGCCGCTGGGAATAGCCACGGGCATCCTGCGGCTCCTGCCAGCGCCCAGCCCACGCCTGCCCTCGGCTCACGGGGCTGGAGACGTGCTCTGGCCTGGGCAGCGTCCCCAGGGCTGGGTTAACTCGGAGCCCCCCTCCCCGGGGTGATCCCAGACCCACAGGTCGGTTTGGGATGCACCTCCGGCACTCGGGGCACCCACGGGTGCTCTGTGGGGTGATGGTGCAGCCGAGCTCCCCCACGGCCCCTGTGGGATTTGGGGCTCTGCCCTTCACCCTCCCCTGCCTGGCCGAGGATCCGGGGGCAGAGCGTCCCCGCAGCCTCCTCACAGCCCGGATTTGGCAGCAGCTCAAAGCAGGGGCTGCCACAGACGCCGGCCCGAGGCTGAGCCATCCCCACCCCACAGGCGTCCTGGGGGATCCCACCTGGGGCTCCCCAAATGCGGGGTGGGGCAGGATCACCCTGCTCAGGCGGCGAGTCCTTCACCAGGGCTGGCCACTGCAGACCCCAGACCCAAATTTTGGTTTTGGTGCCCGAAGGAGTGTGAGCTCATGTTAACCCACCCGGGGATTCCTGCCCGTGGTTTCCCAAGGGAAGGAGGTGGATTTTGGCAGGCTGGGTACATTGGGGTGACCCTTTGGGCCCCATCCCTCTGTGGGGGCGGGTTTTGTGCCCCATGGAAGTCTTGGAGGGTCTCTGTGGGGTGCCCTGTGTGCCGGGCAGGGGGGAAAGGCAGCCGCGGTGTCCCGCTCCCCGTTCCTTGGGGAAGCCAAAGGACTCTTCCCGACTCCGGGGGGTGGAACCGGCTCCCAGGGGATCAGCCCACCTGGGGAAGGAGCTCGGATTGCTCGGGGGCCATGGAGGGCCTGGGGGGAGAGGTTGGTGGGGCTGGACCCCCTCACGGTGCTGCCAGGGAGCCCCTCGATGGCACCCCGGGCACCCCAAACCCCAGCGCGTGTCAGGGTGAACAGCCCTGAAATCTTTTCCAGGGTGCAGAGGGGGTGATGTGAAGGCTGGAGGTGTTTTCCTGGGCTTGAAATGGTTGGGAAAAGCATCCTCACATCTTTCCTGCGTCCTCCATCCCGGCAGGATCCGCTGGGGCGCTGAGCGGGGCGCGGGGGGAACCCGGGGCGCTCCCGGCCGGGTGTGGGAAGGGAGGAACAAAGCGAGTCAGGCTCACGGAGAAATCACAACCCCCCTTTTGGCCTTGGCCCGGAGCCGCCCGCCACACCCTGCCCTTCCCGCACGCTCCCGCACCGAGATAAGGCCGGGCCGGGGCCGGGGCCGCGCCAGCGCCCGGCGTGTGGCAACAAGCTCGGAGTGAAACTCAGCGCAAGGCGCAGCTCAGATCCCTATCGCGACACTGCGCCGCCACGGCCGGCCCGCAGCGACCTAAACCGTGCGGAAAGCCAAGACTAAAACCCTTCCTTGACAGCCTGAGAGATGCGGGACGTCCCCGGTGGGATGGAGGGATGGATGGAGAGGGATGGAGGGATGGGAAAGGCGGGCGGTGGAGCAGCACATGGGGATGGGGATGGGGTCTCCCCTCTCTCCTCCCACCACGCGGTGTTTGGGGGGGTCCAGGTGGTCCCACCGTGCCCAAAGGCGAGCGCTGACCGTGCCCCGGTTTTTGGGACGGGCCCTCCCGCGGAGCCTCTGCCTCGGTTTCCCCACCTGTGGGAATAAATACCTGCCCGTCAAGCCCTCGCAATTACTGCCGAGTTAATCACCATGTTAAAAACGACAGTGATATGACTTTTTCGGGGGGGAGGAACCCATTTTTACGAGCGGCCACACCCCGTGGCCCATTTCTCCGGGTGGAGGGGGGGGATTGGAGCTCTGCCGAGTGTCCCCGTCCCCTCCCCACGACAGCAGCGCCCTTCCCAGCCCCGTGAGCAGCGGGATGGGCGTTCCCCGGTGCCGGGGTGGGCGTTGGCTCTGGGGAGAGCCTCGGGGCACCCACGGGTGCCGCACCCACGGGGGGCAGGGCGGGGCCGCCCCCCTCGCCCCCTCCCCAGCGCCCGCGGGCGATGATTCACCGCGATTTGCCTTTTAAGGCCGCGCTCGGCGGGGAGGAAGCAGAGGAGGAGGAGGAGGAGGAGGACACGGACACTCCTTGGACCTGGCTGGCTCCTCCTGCTCTCGCTCGAGGCTCCGACGCGCAGCCAAAAGCGAATCCCGGCGGCAGCGCTCGGCAGAGGCTCCCACGGCTCCCGGCCCCGCTGCTCGCCCAAGCGACCGCGTCCCAGCCATGGCAAGAAACCAGCAAGTGCAGAAGGCCAAGCTGGCCGAGCAGGCTGAGCGCTACGAGGACATGGCAGACTTCATGAAGGCGGTGGTGGAGCACGGGGACGAGCTGTCCAACGAGGAGCGGAACCTCCTGTCGGTGGCCTACAAGAACGTGGTGGGCTGCCAGCGCTCGGCGTGGAGAGTCATCTCCAGCATCGAGCACAAAACCGAGGAGGGCGACGACAAAGCGCAGGTGGTGAACGAGTACCGGGAGAAGGTGGAGCAGGAGCTGAACGCCGTCTGCAACAACGTGCTGGGCTTGCTGGACAAGTATCTCATCAAGAAGGACAGCGACACCGAGAGCAAGGTCTTCTACCTGAAGATGAAGGGCGACTACTTCCGATACCTGGCCGAGGTGGCCAGCGGCGACGATCGCCTGTCGACGATAGAGAAGGCGCAGGAGGCTTACCAAGAGGCCATGGACATCAGCAAAAAGGAGATGCAGCCCACGAACCCCATCCGCCTGGGGCTGGCCCTCAACTTCTCCGTGTTCCACTACGAGATCGCCAACGCCCCCGAGCAGGCGATCTCGCTGGCCAAGACCACCTTCGACGAGGCCATGGGCGACCTGCACACGCTCAGCGAAGACTCCTACAAGGACAGCACCCTCATCATGCAGCTGCTCAGGGACAACCTCACGCTATGGACAGCCGAGTGTGCTGGCGAAGACGGCGGCGAGGCTGGCGAAGAGCCCAAGAACTGAGCGTGCCCGTGCCCGTGCCCTGCCGAGCCGGGGACCGGCCCCGCTCCACACCCTTCGGCATCTCTAAGTGGTTTTTTTTGGTTTTTTTTTTTTTTTTTTTTTTTTTTTTT